TAATATTTGGTGTAGTTTTTTGTTGTTTTTTTGTTCACTATGCGTATCTGATTTTGTGAATCGGGGTTTTCAAGACCAACACAATACACTTGGCTTTAAAGGGTTAAACTAGATCAAGTTTGGCTTTTTGCTCAGGGAAGAAAATATATTTCAATGCATCTCCCAGTTGTTATTTTTCACAGTGAGTAATATGCTGGTGAAGATTCTCAGTCTTCCAGGTCACAGTCATTCCAAAAACGAAAATAAAAAAAAAATCCACTGGACTTTGTTTCTATGTTTGAAGACGTTTCGCTTCACATCCAAGAGCTTTTTCAATTCAAAATGTCAGGAATAGCTTTGAGTTCGAGGTTTTATACAGTAGCCCAACAAAGCCTTTTCTTTTTGTTTTGAAAACATGCAAATTGAAAAGGATGAAGGGGTCCACCCCTTCATCGTTTGGCTTCTTTGTTAGCCTGCAATGCCCCATACCTGTCTAAGTGTCTGAAATGGGGGTCGTTAAAGGGAGCTATTGACCTGGCTGAATAGACGAGGTCCTCCGTTCTCCTGTACAGGGGTTGGGGCTGCGACGATAACGGGAAGGGATTAACTCTATTGCTGCATTGTAGGTTTTTTTTAAAAGCTGAAATCTGAGTCCACCCCCTCTGTTTAACGTTGGTTTTTCTCTCTTAACATAGATGGCTTCCTTCACGCCCCTCTCAAACCACCTATTTTCTTTTTCCAAAATGTGAACATTCTGGTCCTCAAAAGAATGTCCTTTGTCCATGAGGTGTAGATGTACCGCAGAGTCTTGCCCAGAGGACGGCGCTCTTCTGTGTTGGGCCATGCGTCTGTAGAGAGGTTATTTGGTCTCTCCTATATGAAGATCATATCATTCCTCACTGCATTGAACTGCATACACCACTCTGCTCATATTTGAACTAGGCTTGTCCCGATCCGATCCACGTATCGGATCGGGACGCTGATATTGGCAAAAAAATGCGTATCGGCAAAGCATGTAAAATGCCGATCCAGTTTTTAAAAAAAAATCTGGTCCGTATTTTCCAGTTTCGCTGATTGAAACGATCCATTCCACTATTTTGCGCCAGTGTTTCCCTGTTTTGCATTTTTATTAAAACTTACAGTAATACTTGCACCTTTAACTGTTTACGGTTTTACTGTTCACTGTGCAATTTCAGATTGCTATTCATAATTTTGTCCAGTTTGTGTTTATCTCTTAATAAACAGGTAAGTTTGTTGTTACCAAGCATTGTGTTTTATTCAATCTCACCTAATTTAGCTGGCTAGATGTTATCAAGAGTACTAAAACCCTTTTCAACACGAGTCTTACAACTAAGGCTAAATACTTTAACTTAAACTTAAATACATGCTCGGATAGGCTGGTATCGGCCAGTATCGGTATCGGATCGGAAGTCCAAAAACAATATCGGTATCGGATCGGAAGTGCAAAAACCTGGATCGGGACATCTCTAATTTGAACTAGCCTCTGTCTAAGGGTCTTGTTTGGTTTGAATTGATTTTGTGTTTGGAACCAAACGACCCCCGTTCCAAAGGGTTGGACCCTTTCGTCCGTTTCAATTATCATGTTTTAAAAATGCAAACAAGGATTTGTTGGGCTACTTAATAAAACCTCGAACTCAACGCTGTTCCTGACATTTGGAGTTGAAAAGCTTCTTGGATGGGAAGCGAAACGTCTTCAAACTTGGAAGAAAAAAAAAGTCCAGTGGAACGTTTTTAATTTCCTTTTTGGGACTGTGAATAATGCATTATTAGTTACAGTTTCTAATTAAAATGATTAATTATAAGCAAAATTAATTAGATAAAACTGCACGAGACTATCTGTAAAAAGGATAAATGGCTTTGAGATTTTCCTGGTAATATAAAAAAAAACAACAACAGTCAAATACAAAAAAACATTTGGTTAACAGCTTTGATTAATAACTTCTATAGATCCCTTAACCTTAACCTATTCTCAAAAGGATTAAAGGCTGCGCTAGATGTCAAAAATAAACGTTTTAATTCACCATTTACCAAATTTGGTCTCTATATATTTATCTTCAGTGTGTTTGATAGCTGGCCTGTTTTCTCTGTTCCTTTCAGGATGTTTATAATAGAACTGCCTGGTTCCGCTCACTAAAGCTAACCTTTTTTCTATCCTTTTCAAAATACACTTCTGGGTTTAGGGCTGCAGACATCCACTGTGTAAACACTGGAAACTTGTCGTATTAAGACCGTAGTCTGGTTTATGTCACAACCAGAATTCTGGAGTGTTTTTTTATAATGATAAAAGAAAGAAATTATCATTTTTTTATAAGGCCGCAAAATGTTTAAAGCAGCTGTGATTTATTTCTCTTACAATCGTATTTAGAATACATTGAATGGACATTAGTGGTTGATTTGTTTTTATACCCACTCATCCTTACAGAGCTGTGGAGGGACCTTCTCTGCAGATTATTGAAAGTCAAAGAAAGTCCACATTAGTGATGATTTCTAAAATAGATCATATTCCATATATTCTGCCTAGTAATCCTCCAGGATATATATTAGAACCTCACAGACAGCCATGTGAAAGTCAGCGGAGACAGTGAACAGGCTTTCATAATCTGCAGCAGGGCTTTAATTTAGAGTAGTAAGGGGACAGCCGGGCACATAAACAGACTGACTGCCTTTCCACTCCCAGTTTTCTAGCCCAGATTTGCCTGGGAGCTTCTGCCAAGCCAACATTATCCCAGCGCTCTGCTCGTTTCAGGACAGAAAAGGGAATGTAGGAGTCTGTGTGTGTCAGCAGCCGCAGTGTCGTTTCTTTGTGTTGCTCAATGAGGAAGGAAGAAGTGGAAGTGAAGAAAGAATGTGGCGGAGGTCCCCCAGGTGCAGAGCTCGGTATTTTGACTTCAGCGAGGAGGTGGTCCGCAGAGCACACCTTGCAGCTCCCAGGTTACCTTTAAACTGCCTTATCTGTGTTCGCTGATGTTTTTATTTTATTCTGACCAGTCCGGTGAACTGTTTGCAGTTTCCTTTTTTTTTTTATTAAAATGTACTTCAGATATGTGCTTTGTTATTAGATTACAATGTGTAATCTAAATATGTGCTCCAAAAGAAAAGTGGAAAATATGGATGTGAGAGTTTCATAATATTTCTAGGTAATCCCTGTTTTGCAGATATTTTATTTTAAAATATGCCCGTCTCAGATTAAGAGATTAGATTTCTGCTGGTTGAGCGTGGTGGTAATGTTGTTGAAAGCAGAGCGTTTCTGATGACGCACAGGACGACATAGATCCCACCGATGGTCCTGCATGCCTTTAATCAGATTATGCACATTTCCAAATTAATCCGTGCCTCTCTGGCAGAGGTGTGGGACTCTGCATCCCAATGGACTCAGTTAATCCCAGATGGATGAAAATGACAGCAGTGCCAGGAAATGTAAATTCAATTCTATGTTGCTTATATTTACTGCTGATCTTTGGCTAATTGCTTTGACTTAAACTGTATGCTAAACGCATTACTTTTTCAGAGTCATGGTTCATTGCATCTGTTCTTCTGGCTTCTGAGGCTCTGACCTTTCAGTTTAAACTTTTGCCCTCATCATCTGGTTACATAATATCTTGTTCTGTCCTCCTGCTCCGACTCCATGGTGACCAACAGATTATCTGTTTGTGCTTCTGCCATGGCTCTCCGGGTCATTCGGATGTTGTGAATGACAGCTGCATGTTTATTTCCCTGCAGCTACATCTACAAGCCTTTTGTGGGGTTTTTTCCACTAGTTTCCAACAAATAGAGGCTACAGAAGAGGATTAGGCCCACTGAAAAAAAAAAAAAAAGTTAACTGATTTTTAAATTTTATGTCAGTTTAACATGGGGAAAGAAAGTCAGAATTCTGACTTTTTTCTCAGAATTCTGACTTTAATTTTAGAATTCTGACTTTAATCTCAGAATTCTGACTTTTTTCTCAGAATTGTGGATCTTAATGTAGATGGGCACCATGAAGGAAGAGATGTGGAGCACTCAGCTTCACTGACAAAGATGTGAGTTGTTTGAGAGGGCCAGTGACACATTGGTGGAAAATGACGGAATTAGGCAACTTTTTACGTGCCCGAGGGGTCCCCTCATTAATGGAGGAGCAGAAGGTCATTAAAACAAGAGAGCTAGTCTCTAAAACAGACATGGCTATGGCTTGTTGCTAACATGTTTGTTAGCTGTCAGAATTCTGAGAAAAAAGTCAGAATTCTGAGAAAAAAGTCAGAACTCTGTTGTTAAACTGAAATAAAATTTAAAAATCAGCTAACTTTTTTTTTTTTTCCAGTGGCCCTAATCCTCTTCCGTAAGAGGCTGATATTTCAATCTAATTTTTTTTTGCATATTAGTTTGAAAAGAGTGTTTTGAAAATAAATCTTCAAGTCTTCTTAGAAATTCTCTGATCGGATCTTTGACTAGACTGTAACAAATGAATAAATGATGGTTTAAAATATTCCCGCATTTCTCGCTGTATCCTTAGATCCTAATCTAGCTTATCCTTCTACTTTCCTCTGACCACAGCATCTTTTTTTCCCTGTACTTCTTAAACTGCAAGCTTTTTTGTTTAGTGCACAACCTCGAGTCAGTTTAACAAACTCTCCCACCTTGGCAACAGGCGGCTCTAGCGCTTCTAGGTCTTCAATGCTGCTTCTCTTAAAAAGCTCTGCTCTGCTGACCTGTCAGCTAAGGTGAACGTTTTACCATAAAGCATAAGACATAGTTTTATGAAGAAGATATTTTCCATACCTTTATATTTGAGCTTGGTTGTTTGTTCCTAGCTCTAATGATTTTGATTTTTGCTCTTGTTTTTTTTTTTTAGAAATGTCTTTCAAACTCTTCTTTAACATCTATGTTCAGTCACTGAAAATACGAATTGCAGTATGGAGTGTATTTAGATAGCAAGGTGTTTTTTTTTTTTTTTTGGTTTTCTGATGAAGCATTTCTATTAAAAAGATAAAAAAAAAAAAATGTATTTGTCTTTCTTCTTGCAGCTTTGAGGCTGAAAATGGTCCCTCGCTGTGTTGCAGTCCATCAGACCCGCAGGCCTCTCCAGGTTCAGGTCTGGTCCTTCACCCAAACCTAGCGGGTCACAGTCAGCGCAGAGAGAGCTTCCTCTACCGGTCGGACAGCGATTACGACCTCTCACCAAAGTCCCTGTCACGAAATTCATCCATTGTTGGAGAACTGTGAGTAAGGTGTTGATTTGGCAGCACATTGTCTTATAAACCTGTTGGGAGGAAACCTTCAAACTTTTGTCACTTTTGTTTTCAGGCATACGGAGGATCTGATTGTAACTCCTTTCGCCCAGGTAAGGTCTGATCCAAAGTCAGCAAATGTGCAAAAAACCCCAAAATGTTCAAGCATTCCAGTTCTGAGGGCTGGTTGATGCAGAAGACATCCAACTTCTTTAAGATTAACCTTACTGCCCCCTGGTGGAGGTGAAGTAGTATAACAAGGCCAAAAGCCAAACCATGGATTTTTTTTTCTTCTTCCAGTGAAATCTGCTTTGGATAAGCTGAACAATTGTTTTATGTCACTTATTAGCTTGTATTCCCTACTTATTTTTTGTATATAAAGTATTTTCAATCCTAAAACTGAATCAAAACTGCCTTTTTTCTCCAGATTAGTTCATGTCCCCATACGTATCTTTATAATTATTTGTGTTTGCTTGTTTTTAGGTTCTGGCAAGCTTACGGACTGTTAGGAACAACTTCACCACCTTGACAAATGTCCAATGTCTGTCTAATAAGTAAGTAAGCTAAGCTGCAGGAGTGTAATAGGATGATGATAAATGCAGCTGTTGGACATGTTTGGTTTTTTTGGAAACCTCAGCAGGACAGTTTGTTCCACCAGGGGGCGCCAAAGTCTCATGAATAAAACAGCTGCTTAAGTCCAGTTAGAAAATTACTTGTTTCAAAGCATGCCCATCATCAGGGATCTGCAGAATGATTTCCCCACAAACCACTGGGTTTCATTTCACTTTTTTATGTATAGGAGTTTTTTTCCTCACTTTTCTTGCCCGATGGCTTAAATCTAATCTCCCATTGGGGTCAGTATCTGCAGTTATTAGGCTGACCGGAGGTGGACGCTGTGTCAATGTGACCTCAAAGGGAAGGGTCACTATAGGACTGTGGTTGGGTTCAGAGAATCTAGATGGAGGCAGTTTAGTGTTTCTGCTTTGACAACAAACAACACAGCTGAAAGCAAGTAAACACAAAGGAAGGAAACAACACCTTTTTCTTTACCCGTAAATACATTTTTTCTACGTGTTTTCAGCGAGTAGGCACATTTTTAAATGCATATTTATACAACTAATGAGTCCTGAAGAAGGGAAAAAAAGCTACACCACTATATCCTTTGCAAATCTGAACATTTTAAAAATGTCCTCAGTCGATATGTCTTAGATTCACCCGCTGCATTAATACTGACCGTTTATAATTGATCGACTTTCACCCCGTCACTGCAGGTTCATTATACGGTAAGTTAGAGAGACTTCCCTTAAAATAATTAGGTTACCAAGTATATGTTTTGGTTCGACTTCGAGGAAGCAAGCAGCACAGTGAGGATGGATGTCAACATGATTCAGCTTTTTAATGCTCTGCTACCCATTGTAGAAAATAAGGGTGAATGATTCCACAAACAGCTTAGTGATGGGCCATTAATGTAATGAATTTTTCTCAATACACATTAAATATGCATCACTGGGCTTATAAGAACAAGAAAAGCAGCATTGTAAGTTGTAAATACTGCTGATTGTATATTCTGAGATCATTATTTTACTTTATTCTTATATCTTATTTTACACTGTTTGTATAGGAAGGGTGTCATTTTACTACGTGGGTTTTAATTTAACTCATTTGACTTAATTATTATATTCAATCTTGCTCTATTGTACTTAGAAGTATAATTAATATAAATATATATCCCATATAATGGGGAAAATATTTAAAGAAAAGGAAGAAGAAAGCAAAGGTTCCAGCAGGATAATGGAGAAAGTAAAAAAAAATCCTAAAATATTTGTTGTTTTTAAAATTACAGTAAAGGTTTCCTAAATAAAAAAAAATGTTTTGAAGAACCACTCTTAGGTGCTTTGTCTGCTATAATCAGTCTTTATGTGGAGAATTTCCTGCATCCTCTATTCTAAAGATGTCTGGATGAAAGAAAAACAACAAAAAGATTAAAATCATCCTTTTTTATATTTATACAAATAGAACAAACATCAAAAGTGTGTTTTCATCTTAAAATAATCAGGTTCATATTTAATCTGTCCAACTATTCTGACCTAGAGATGATCAAGCAGCTCAGATCCATCAGAGAAAGGAAAAGAGCTTTTCAATATGGCATTAATACGAACCTGAAAATCAGGTGATAAGTGCAGCATTGTTTGTGTCTGACTGTCAGCCAGTCATGGTAATCCCACAGGGCTTCCAGACTGTTGTTGACCGAGTGTTTTCAGCCACCCTGACCAGCGGTCTTTATAAGATGACTCTGTCTATGAAACGGGCAACTAAAGGGCTAAAATAAGACACTCAAACATAGACACAGAGTTCCAAACCTTAAACCACTGACCCCCTATATCCCTGGATTTGGACTAGACAAAGTCATGCTGACAGTAAGTGGATCAAACTTCCAACATCAGGGTGTTTTTAATAGCCAGAGATCCTGTGTCATCAGATCACGCTGACCACCCACTGATACGGATTGGAGTTTGTATTATTACAGGGCTGTCTCATGGAGCTGATGTAGACTAAATCTGCTTCAAGAGCAGATGAAGATATGAAGACTTAGCAGCTTCTAAGACTTTAACATTCCTGTAGTAACATTCTGCTCCCACAGATTCCTCACACTGACCCTCCTCTAGTGCTTCCCAGTCTGTTTACTCTCATAGTGAACAGTTTGACAGCAATATACCCAGTTCATGTTGCAGCCTTTATGTCTGCATCTAAACTGTACTCCATGCAGCCGTCCCTTGGAGTTGATCTTAGGAATATAGTCAGAGTGTTTTTGCTGTGTGGAACTTTCAGGAGGAATCATCTTGTGTAGTTTTTGATATTGGACCTTAAATTGGGTTTTTGCCCATATTGAGATTAGGTTTATTTTAGAGATGTCCTGATCCAGGTTTTTGCACTTCCGATCCGATACCGATATTGTTTTTGGACTTCCGATCCGATACCGATACTGGCCGATACCACCCTATCCGAGCATGTATTTAAGTTTAAGTTAAAGTATTTAGCCTTAGTTGTAAGACTCATGTTGAAAAGGGTTTTAGTACTCTTGATAATATCTAGCCAGCTGAATTAGGTGAGATTGAATAAAACACAATGCTTGGTAACAACAAACTTACCTGTTTATTAAGAGATAAACACAAACTGGACAAAATTATGAATAGCAATCTGAAATTGCACAGTGAACAGTAAAACCGTAAACAGTTAAAGATGCAAGTATTACTGTAAGTTTTAATAAAAATGCAAAACAGGGGAACACTGGCGCAAAATAGTGGAATGGATCGTTTTAATCGGCGAAACTGGGAAATACTGGATCGGCAGTCTGGATCGGCATTTTACATGCTTTGCCGATACGCATTTTTTTGCCAATATCGGCGTCCTGATCCGATACGTGGTTGGGATCGGGACAAGCCTAGTTTATTTAGCTCAAATTCTCACTGGAAGTTGGATTATTTTGGAGCGAGCTAATCCAAGCCCTCCTGAAATCGAGTAGAGGAGGGGTCGGCTTTCCACAGCGGTTGATGAAGCATCTAGCTCTTCCTCTTCATCCCGTTCTCGATGTTTCTCTAAAAAATATCAGGGATGGAAAGGTTTATGAAAACCGTCCGAACCGTTCGGTTCGACTGTCTCTGTTCGATTCGCGTGTGTTTCTTTCGGTTCATGCGCTGCTCCTTTTTCTCATAGGCGAAGCGTGTACACTCCAGAGCAGAAGGTGGCGGTACTGCGACCAAAGCCAACCACCAGTAGTATACAAGAAGAAGAAGAAGCGAAGCAGCTTAGCCGGGTGTAGCAGAAAACATCAGGTGCTGTGGAGAATTGTGTGGGTATGGCGAGTGGGAAAGAACAGGAGTTGGAAGACGCGCCAGCAGCACTTTCTAGGTCTGCTGTATGGGACCACTTTGCATTTAGAGTGACCTACGATGACGGCGGAAAGAAAGTTGTGGATAAAAGTGCAACAGTGTGCAAGCATTGTGCAACACGTTTTGTTTATGCGAACAGCAACACGACCAACATGTCAGGCTAACAATCAACATATACCGAACCGAAAACCATGACCACGAAACCGTGAACCGAACCGAACCGTGGATTTTGTGAACCGTTCCACCCCTAGAAAATATGTATGAATCCACACTATTCAGATTCAAAAGTTTCTTTAGCTCAGAGGTGTTCAATGGTCATGATCTCCCAGTGCAGAGAAGTCAAACTCATTTTCTACATTGGCTCACTTCTTTCTCATAAAGTCTTTAATAGGACCAGTTTAAGATGTTTAAAATACACTTTTTATTTCATTTACAAAGTTTTATCCCCTTTAAAGGAACATTTGGCTCTAGAGGGATGGATAAATGGTGTGATGGACTTGAGTTTGACCCTTGTACCCTGGTGGATTGTGGAGGAACTGCACAGGTTGTTAAACCTGTATGTATTATTATATTTAATTTGAAATCTTCCTTTTCACATCCAGATCATTTTGGGAAATGCAACTTGTAATTGGTATGAGCAATTTAAGAAAATAAAGTTGAGCATTTAAAAAAACAGATGCAAAAATAGATGCAATTATAGTCAACCTATTAAGATGTGCAAATGAATATGTTCAATGAAGATTTCCTGAAGTAAAAGAAAGAAAAGAGGCCTGGCTGACACACAAAGGCAGATCCTTCCACAGGTTGTGGGCAGCTACAGCAACAACACGGTCCCATTAAACGTAGGCTTGGTTTGAGGCACAAGGAGCTGCTGGTTGGCAGAGAAGGTGGGATTATGTGGTTCAGAGAGTTTGAGACGAGGTTCCAGGTGATGCTTTGTTTATTTTTCTTTAGTTAGAGAACATGCTGTAGCATTTTGCACAACCTGCAGGCTCATACTGTGCACATCATTGACCCCAAAATAAGAGTTTCAAAAAACTTCCTTGATAGTATGGGTGATATTTAGGTAAACTGCCTCAAGAGGGGGGAAAAAAAGCAAACAGCCTCCATCTGGGCTGTTGTGTCTGTGAAACACCAGTTCAAAGGGAAAAATCTTTAGAACTTAAGACAGTATAAATACAAACACTCTAGCTTTGGGTCTAAATGACATTAATGCGTCTAAATAAAATTACAAGGCTGAAATCCAGTACTGTAATACAGTACTAGTATTACAGTACTAATCAGTTAAACTGATTATTTTTATTTGACTAAGTTTGGTTTTGATATGAAATGAGTTGGACATGTAAGAAAGTAGGATTAATCAAGTTTTAGATTTTGTTTTTTTGTGTTGTTTTGGACTTTATTTGGACCTTAAACCTTGATTTAGGATGGCTTTAAAAGTAGTTTTTTCCCTTGTTAGGTCATTCTTTAAACTTCCTCGTTTATTCCATTGTTCCTATTTCCTCTTGCTTTGTCTTTGTTGGAGTTTTTTTTTTTTTTTACTGTCCATTCACGTTTAATTAAATTTTTTAACTCCACCCCTCCACCACAACCAGCTGCATTCAGTCCACCTGCGTCACACCAATCAGTATTTCAGTATTACTCCCCAGCTGCAGAATTCTTGTCTTGCCAGTTTATTGTTTTGCTCCTGCAAAGTTTGCCTTTGCTATGCTTTATCTATGCCAGCATCTGTTACCTCAATAACAGTTACATTTTCAGCTCATTGATCTGCTGCAGCCTGCCCTCTGCATCGTGGTCCAACTACAAGTACCACAGTCTGACAAAAAAACAATGTGAAATGATTAAAAACATAAAAAATAGCATAATAATTAACATTTTCTTACTTTTTTTTTAAGGCATTTAAAATATGTCTATATCCTTTTCAAGAGTCAGTGTAAGAGTTGTTTGATCAGTACAACATTGATAAAAACATTTTTTTATATATTACTGCAAACCTAGATCTGCCAGGTGTACCAATCATTTTGTGCTGAACTGCAGCTTTCTTAAGTCTGCTTTCTGCTTTTCTGCTAGAAAATAATAATGGTTTTGTATCGATGCATCGATCCAACAGCCGACGATCCGATGCATCGACACGTCCGCAAGAGTATCGATTCATGTGTTTTTTTTCCTCCCATCTATTTTTATCCATTTGCTCCTGGGCGTAATTCTCCCTCCCGTGCTGCGGTGGCGCTAAACCTATTTTGCCCTCCTACCTCGCTTCCTGGTTATACTCTTACAGCTGTGTGTTGCAGTGAGCTTGACGCAGATATTTTTAAATTATGCTCAATATTGAAGCGTGGTCTTCGCTACACGCTGTGGGTCTAGATACGGCAGAGGCGGTGAGGAAGTGGGGGCGAGTTTAGTCTGACAACGGAGGGACATGAGGGCCAAAAAGAGCGGAGAGCCAGGTGGAAAAAGGGTCCCAGTGTTCTCGCGCACCTCGCTCTTCTAGCGGGTCAAACTTCATGAGTTTTGCACTTTGCATTGCTCTCATTACAAATTGTACGAACATTGTCTAGTTTGTAAGGTTAAAAAAAAAATAAATGAACCAATAAATCAAATCGTATCGTGGTGTATTCTTGAGTATCGAAAATAATCGAATCGTTGGGTCAGGAAATCGATACTGAATCGAATCGCCATGATGGATGTGATTTACACCCCTATTAATTACAGGGAAAAAAAACCACACCTCATGTTTGCATATCTTATTCTAACTGCATATTTTTTTTACTTGTTTGCTTGTTCCAGAAGATCCCCTGCTGCAAATCAACCCTCAGCCACTAAAGTCTGTCTCTCGGGTAAGTTCACCCTTTGTTAAACACAACCAAACACTTTCTCAGTAAGTTTGGGGATTTGATAATTACTAAAACTGCCTCTCTCATCTGTAATTTCTTCCTTGAGATTATTTAAGAGACACATGTAGAAAAATTTCTTCCTTAAAAAAAACTTCAATGTGATCAGGCATTTGATGTCTTCATTTAAAGAAGCAGAATTTACATCATGATTAATTAAAACACTTTTCCTTGCCCTAAATCTCAACACTTTCTGATGGTTGTCTTTTTGCACCCATTCAAGTGTCCTTAGCAAACTCCCATTCCTTCACAAGTCAAATAAGCTTTGTATATTAGTTATTTGATTATTTTTTAATGAGGAAAGTGACTGTTACACATGGTTAAGTATCTGATATGCTCAAGAAAGTGTCTGGTGGGAACCAGAACGTATCTGATTAGAACCAGGAAACAGAACTTATCTGGTGGGAACTAAAACTTATCTGATGAGAACCAGAAAGTATCTGATGGATTACTAAAATAACTGTTTGCTTTGCATAAAGGACAGATCTGTGAAAGGTGACCAACCACCTTTGCCAAAAAGGACTAGTCAAATATCCAGCCAGACTTCTACCAACAAGTAGATAAATTAGATGCAAACTTCCATCTGGATTTGAAGTTTGTTAATGTTTGAATTACTTTAAAATTTAAAACAAAAAAAAATCTGCACTCTGTTTCAACAACAATGCTCTTGCATTAAACTAGATTTTTTTTTTTACTTGTTCATCAATGCACTGCATTTGAAAGCCTCTGGGTTTGCAGAAACCTCTCATTCTTGTCTTAGTTAATAAAAGAACAGCGCATGCAAAACCTGTCCCATGTTTGAGGGTCTTTTTTCTGATGTTTGCAAATAAATCTGAATAAATTCAATAACCAATGGCTCAAAGACAAGAAAATGCATTTCATGCACTGGCTTTTCATCTGAAGAAAAGGAAAGTATGTGGATGAGAAATGCAGAGTAGTTATCGGTTTCAGTGTCAAACAGCTCTATGTAATAGACGGGAAAGAAGAGCAACAAAGGTTAGGGAGGGACGCTAAAATAGATATTGGTTCCTGCTGTACTGGTTCTTCAAGCCCAATTGACGTCAGCAATTGCCTGCACATGGGTGCTCTAAACTTCCTATCAGCACAGATGGCCTGAGAAAAAGTGTCCCACATCAGGAAAAAAAATAAAAAATAACAGAAGACAACTGCAAATCTCTTACCGTCCTTCCTCCGCACTCCTCACAAACCTTGACCTTCTGTAAGCTATCACTGACGAATGAGACCGTCTCATTAGACTGGTTTGTGACGCACTGGGGGTGATAGAAGAGCAAAATATCCACATGATGAAATCTGTAAGACTTATGTTTTCCAAACTTTCACATTTAACAATCTCACACTTTTAAAAACTGAAAAGGGAAAACAATTGTTACAATGCTTTTGTGGGTATGATCTAAATATATGAGAGTGGGGACCCTTAAATTAAGATTTTTTTCATTACGGAAGCCTGAAAGGAAAATTAGAGCAAAATCGAAGAGATAAAGTCACCCCACATTCGTTGATTCCATCCAAATAAAGGACATCCAAAATGTTAAGTTTTGAACCAGTCAGACACAGCATAAGAGGTTGACTTAAATGAAATTATCAACAGAAGTGGTTTCATGACCTTGACCAGTAGGGAAACTGACTTCAAACAAGAAGCAGGGGTTAAAATAAAAACTTAGTTCAGCTGCAGATGCGTCACTGCTGCGCTTTTACCTTGTTAAGCATTTTATCACTGTAACTTAAGGGGGTTTTAGTGATTGCATTTTAGTTTGCCATTCCTGCTTCAAAAAAACGACAAACAGGCCTCTGTCACACACAGACTGGTGAGCTGGAAGCCAACAAAGCGCTCAGTCTTCCCTGCCTGATTCTGATTATAGGTTTTACTTGAAATTATACCTAAAGAAACTCGACTTTGACGTCTTTAACCATCAGAACTGAATTAAATGGTAACGGTATGAGCTAACTATTGTCAGAACCACCCAGCTTCAGCTGGATAAATGTTTAATATAGGGATGTACTGATTGCTTAAAACAAAATAAATAAAAAGCCTAACCTGCTATTCTGATTTTGACCCGTACGTGTTTCTAATAGTGAATACCAATATTATTTCAATGACTGATAATTTTATGTTATAATGTCGAAATACACCTTCTATGTTTGATGGAGCCTTACTTCCTAAAACTGGCAGCTGATTTCATAGCAGAGCCACTGCCCATTCTTTTTAATCTTTCCTTTGAAAACAAGGACATCCCATCTATTTTAGACTTAGACTTAGACTTCTTTATTTGTCATTTTGTATGCACAGGGTGCATACAGAACGAAATTGCGTTACATACAGCTTATGAACGTTGCATTGATATTTCACAATGGCACGAGTTATAGAAAAATACAAAAAGTGCAGCAGTGGTCAAAGTGTGAACAGTGCAGAGGATAAGAGACAGTGTGCAAGTTGCAGTGGTTCAGTGCAAAATGGCATTTGTGCAAAAAATGCGTTATTGAAAAATACAATGAGATGAACAATTTAAAGGGCTAAAAGTTAAAAGTTCAGCAGCATTTGATGCCCGATAATGTGCAATAGGTGCAGAGTTCGGATTGTGGATCAAAGGTTCAACAGTCTGATGGCAGTGGGGAAGAAGCTGTTGCACAACCTGGTGGATCTGCAGCGGATGCTGCGGAACCTCTTTCCAGAGGGCAGCAGGGAGAACAGTCCATGGTGGGGGTGTGAGGGGTCTTTGATGATATTACGGGCTCGGGACACACAGCGCTGTGATGAAATGTCCTTAATGGAGGGAAGAGGAGCCCCAATGATTCCTTCCGCTGTCCTCACCACCCTCCTCACATTCTTCCAGTCAGAAGCTCTGCAGCCTCCACACCACAGAGAGAGACAGCTGGTCAGAACGCTCTCTATGGTGCTTCTGTAGAAGGTTGTGAGGATGGGCGGGGGCAGGCGGGCTCTCCTCATCCTCCGCAGAATTGGAAGATTTGGAAGTCTGCTTCTGTTCTTCCTTTAGTAAAAGGAGGTGATTCAATAGTTCTTACCAATTATAGGCCAATTTCAAATGTATGTTTCATCTAAAATTCTGGAGTCTCTTGTTTGTGATCAATTGAAAATCCTTTCTAAATATCAATCAGGTTTCCGAAAAAAATGAAAAACAGCACTATTACTTCTACTATGAAGGTGATAAATGATATAATTGTAGCACTTGATAAAAACAGTACTGTGCTTCACTCTTTATTGGTCTTTTAAAAGCTTTTGACACCGTACTACTATAGACATGCTATTTGAAAACACAGGCTACTTCTCATTGGACTATCAGAGCATGCGGTTGCTTTTTTTATTCAAATTATCTAGAAAGCAGTTCCCAGTGTATAAAATGTGAGGGGCTTTTTTCTGAATTTGTTACTGTTCACAAGGGTGTGCCACAAGGATCTGTTTTTGGCCCCCTCTTATTTATGTTGTACATCAACAATGTTGAACAAAATTTATCTGATGCTAATATGCATTTTTATGCTGATGATACCATTATTTATTGCTTTGGATCATCTCTTGAACAGGCTATTAATTCCCTACAGAAAGCCTCTGTTTTCATAATGCTAGCTCTTGGACTCTTAAGTAGGCACACGCACAGAAAGAAGCAGATTTAAACAGTTTATTTTCAGGATAATGCGATGACAACTGAGTCTGGAAAAAACTGAGGGAGCAGGGGGTGGGAGCAGGCAATTGAGTAGGAGTCCATGAAGCCCGGTCTTGCTGGTTGAAAGTAGATGTTGGGGGTTGAGAGAGGAGACACTGGTCTTTCAGTTTGTTTGGAGATGAGGGTGGACAGGTTTGAGCCAGGGGTTCTGAAGGCCAAGTTGGTGAGCCTGAGGAAGGAGCAGAACGGAAGCCTTGGGGGAGGTAGATCCAACTAACCTGACTCCGCCAGATGGATTTGCTCCGCATATCCATCTGGAAACCTTCAGTTGAAGAACTTTTGGGAAGGGGCGAAAATACTCTTGCTGCTCTTGCTGAAACCAGTCGGGAGAAGAGCAAAAATATCTTTTCGTCTGAGAAAAGCCTCCAGAGCAGTGTTTTGCTCTTCTTTCAGTGAAGAAATACTGTGTAATTCCGATAAAACTTGCTCGATAGCCACGCTAACGCTAGTTTCATCGGCTGAAGCCGCCATGTTCTTTAGACTGAACTGTCGCGCTTCTTGTTGCGTCACACCTCAACCCGCCTCAAAGCCAACGCTGATTGAACGTTCGTTTGGTGAACGGCTCCAAATTTTCTTTAACGGAGAGTCTCCGGACTGATCTGCGAGTGAAACCTTGAAAGCTCAGGATGGTCTCACGAGGCTAAGATCCAACAGGAGTCTTTTCCAAAGGGGATCCTGAAACAGAGAAGGACAATAAGGTCTTAAACAGAGAAGATCCAACAGGAGGGGAAAAAACACAATACTTAGATTTCTCTTAAGTTGGCTTGTTACCACTCTGAGTACAACAACCATCTGCCGTCTGATTGAGGGAGACTGCTCCTTCTTAAAGGCCACCACTGATCGAGGGAATAGAACCCAGCTGGACTCAATTAGCCTGCCACCCTGTGAGAGAAAAAAGGGAAAAGACATACAGCCACATGCTGACAAAACAAAGTTAATGTTGTTTTCAAATCATAGGAAGGTGCCTTAAACCCTGCCAGTAGTGTCCACTCTGGAGGGGAATGTCATTAAGGTGGTACAGGAATATAAATACATTGGAATTAGAATTGATGACTCCCTCACCTTCAAACCTTTCATTGATAAACTTGTGAAGAAATTAAAAGTTAAACTGGGCTTCCTCTTCCGTAATAAGACATGTTTTTCTTTTGGAGTAAAAAAAGCTCCTTGTCTCTGCCACGTTTTTATCGGTCTTAGATTATGGTGACCTTTTTTATAAGAATGCTACTTCTTCATGTCTTCAAATGTTGG